ATAGGAAAGTATATATGGATCTTCCTAGCTCGCCGAGCTTAGTCGATCAAGCTATGTATGTCCGTCCGTCCGTCTGTCCGTCTGTCCATGTTAATTTGTAATCACTCTACAGGTCGCAATTATGGCCCGATCTTCACGAAATTTAGAATGGAGGTGGGTCTGGGGTCAGAATAGAACCCTATTTCTTTTGGAGATGATCGCCAAATGTTTAGGGGTTGAAATGGACGAAATACTGAAAAAATGTCGGATTTTGCAGTAGCTATACAGGTCGCAATTATAGACCAATCGACGCGGAATTTCGCATGTAGCTAGAGTTTAGGGCAGGGAAGAAGCCTACCAATTTGGGTGGTCATCGGATAATATTTAGCGGGTAAAATAGACCATATCTTTTGTGTTGAAAAAATTCAAAATTTTTCATTAAACCGCGAATATTTTAAATCCCGGCGAAATCACAAAGCCATGACAAGGTTACTTCTGATCTTTACATTGATGTTAACATCCAACAAAACGGATATATAGCAAAATATGTGCGATATATATGTCTATCAAAGAAGATATGCTTGGAAAATCTCTTATATGTCGAGAACGGCTGAACTGATTTCGACAGTTCTCATTAATTCAAAATGGTCTCTTGGCAGGAAAGAAAAAACGTCTGAAAAAAATCTCATAAAAATATCTCTCTAAAGATGAAAATATTGATTTTGTAAAATTTTCTCATATTTTTTTAATTTTGTCAAATTTTTGGCATATTTTCATTTTGAATTAAACATTTGGTAATATTTCTACAGCTAACAAAACTAAGTAGTTAGGATATCAGGATATCATATACAGATCGCATTTATGGCCCGATCCTTACGAAATTTTGCATGGAGATAAGATGAGGGTCAGAATAGTAGCCTTCTCTTTTTGGAGATGATCGCCATATATTTAGGGGTTAAAATGGACCAAAAAACTGCAAAATTGTCTGCAGGTCGTAAATATCGCCCGATTCTCACGCACATTTGAATGGGGGCTACCGGACATTACAAAAGCCAAGCAGTTTTGGATGGCCATGGGAAGTTTTGGTTCCAGATCTAGGAAGACCATTTACGTGCAACATCTACCAATAAAATGGAAATGAGCAAATTAGTTTAAGTTGCTATTATTCGAAAATTAGAGAACGAAACCTGATGGTTTTCTTTTATTATTTGTCACAATATCTTGTGTAGTTCTTTCGTGTATCTCGCCTATATAAACTGTATCGTTTATTACAGTGTTGTAGGGTATTCAACGGTCGGCCCCGCTCGACTGTAGCCTTTGCTTACTTGTTTGAATTTGAATTGGATTTTCAAAAAAAAATTTTGGAGAATTATTTAAAGCCGTGGATTTTAAAAAAAAAAGTATTTTTGGAAAATTATTTAAAGACGTGGATTTTCAAAAAAAAAAGTATATTTGGAGAATTACTTGGATTTAAAAAAAATATTTTTTGAGAATTATTTAGACGTGGATTTTCAAAAAAAAAAAATATTTTTGGGGAATTATTTAAAGACGAGGATTATCAAAAAAAATATTTTTGAAGAATTATTTAAAGACGTGGATTTTCACAAAAAAAGTATTTTTGGAGAATTATTTAAAGACGTGAATTTTCAAAAAAAAAGTATTTTTGGAGAATTATTTAAAGACGTGGATTTTGAAAAAAAGTATTTTTGGATAATTACTTGGATTTTCAAAAAAAAGTATTTTTTGAGAATTATTTAGACGTGGATTTTCAAAAAAAAGTATTTTTGGAGAATTATTTAAAGACGTGGATTTTCAAAATATAAGTATTTTTGGAGAATTATTTCTATTAGTTTCTAACTTTTAAAATTTGGTATTATGAAAACGGGTGTAGCTAAAAACCTGAAATTTAGTGTGAAAATCAAGATTGGAAAGTATGTTTGATGTATGTAGGTGGTTTTGGAAATGTGTACAAAGTATGCGAACTGTACTAAATGGTACTAAATTTGGAACAGTTTGGACCAAGGTAAAAGGACGAAGCTGACATTTTGAAATTTAAAATACCTGTCGATGGTAGGTTTGCGACAAAGAAGTAGTTTTGGAAATGTGTACCACACGTGCACAAAAAGTACTAAATAGTGCCGTATTTGGTACAAATTGATATTATGCGAACAGATAGTGCTTGAAATCTGAAATTTGATATTAGGGTCGCTGTTCATGTATAGCCCGGATATATGTTGGTTTTTTTGGGAAGTGTGTATTATAATTATACGAAAAGTACTAAATGGTACTAAATTTGGTATTGGTTGATGGGTTAGAGATAAAGTTCTGAAATTAGATATTTAGATAACTGATGGTAACTGTGTTTGATATTTGGCGGTGGCTTTGGAAATGCGGCCTATATATGTAGGAAAAGTACTAAATGGTACTAAATTTGATATTGGGTGTAGGCATGGGGCTGGAATCCACAAATTTCATATTGAGGTCTCTGATGGTATATGGAATTGAGATATGGTGGTTTTGGAAATATGTACTATAACTGTACGAAAAGTACTAAATGGTACTAAATTGGGTAGTGGGTAAAGGAATATAGCTGAAATTCCGAAAGTTGATACTGAGGTCTTTGTTGGTATCTGTGTTTAAGGCGTGTTTAATGCTCAAATACCAAAATTGCTCTCTCGATTAATTTTCTCTCTCTCTCGCTCCCTCTTGCTAAACCGATAAACAACCACCACACATATGTACAAACTGCTGAGTAATGCATGAATTGTTGTTTTCAATGAACTAATTCATAATCTCTGTGAATTTTATTTTTTATTTAAAATTATTATTTATAAAATACGCAGAGTGCAAGAAAAGCAACTAAATTATATTTATATATTATTTTTTTATTTTTACCGATTTTTGTTTTTTTTTTTTCAAATATTATTTGTTGTATTTCAAATATTAATAAACACAGATTTTAAAATTTTATTCATTATCCATTATTCCTATTATGCCATTTGACGATCTTCATGTTCACTTCCATTTGCATGTTTACTTTGCAGGTGAAGCAGAAATTTTGGTCGTGTTGCAAATTTCTGTTGACAGCATAAAATGTAGAACTTCTCACCTTCGTGAGCAGTCACAAAATGAGATCTCACCGTTGTAAAATTAGTTGACGTCCAATTACATATTACACATTTTAGCTTGGGCAAAAATCTCGCTATGGATTCATCCAGCTGTTTGGTAGATTTAAAATTTGTTTTATTCGGAAAATGTTTTCTTTTTCCATTTCGATTTTTACTCAATTTTCGATTAGTTAATACCTTAGGTGGGATATTTTCGTTTACATACTCAAATTCTGGCAATTCCGATAGCGGTATGAGTTGTGGTGATGTAATTAAAAGATATTTCTGCTCATTCACAACAAATTCGGAAACTTCAGTATCGCTATCTGAACTTATTTCGATGGGTGCGGCATTGGAAGGTCTTGAATTTATGCAATTTGAAAAATATTTATATTCTTCTTTTTCAGTATTGAAAAAGTAAATTTCATTATCCACAAAATTTCCATGGTTTGTAAAAATTTCGGAATGATTTTCCGAATTGAAGTGCTCGTTTTCGCAAGTTCCATTGTCAAATTCTCCGTTTATTAAAACTCCCACTGGATCTTCACAATCTTCTTCATCTTTGATATATTCCGCAATGTTTTCTTGTCGATTAGGATATCGAGGATCAATGACGTAAGAGGCCATCATCATTTGTTTTACGATGTTGAGGTTATAAATGGTTGAAATAATTCCCAATGGCAGATGTTCTTCATTTGACGATAAAAAATTTGAATTTTTGCTTCAATTTTGACGTTTGTAATTTTATGACATTTTGAAACTTAAAAAAACAGAGGTTGCTTTTTGAAAAAATATCAGGAATTTGAAGAAAGATTTTTTAGAAATATTTTTAAATTTTTTTTTTTGTAAATTTTTAAAAAATTAATTTTTTTCAAAAGCCTATAAAACGTTGATTTCCTTAAAAAATCAAAATAGAATCAGGCAAATATTTTTATAGAAATATTTTTTCATGTTTTTTTTTATATAAACATTTTTCCAAAGGCCATCAATATTGGATTTTCAAAACAATTTTTTAATAGAGCATCAAACGTAAAAAATATATTTTTGGAAAAAATCAAACGTGTATTGAAAAAAATATTTTTTTAAAAAACCATCAAAATTGGATTTTTGGATCTTTTAATTCCTATTTCTTTTTTAGTTTGTATTTTTTATCAAACAAAAGCAAAATACGAAACACTAATCGGGGACTTAAACGCAAATATTTAATATTTTTTAAAGTATATAATAAGTGATTTTTTATATAAATATTCCAAAAATCAGTAAATTTTTTTGCTATTTGGACTTCAAAAAGTTTTTTTTAATATTACTCTATTACATTTGGGGATTTTTAACAAATATTTTGAAAATAATATTTTCAAAATATTATTTTTGAAGAATATTACAGAGATTTATATAAAGAATTCATTATGAAACACTAAGTGAAGTGTATATTTATTTGTTCTGATTTTTCAAATTCTAACTCACTGCAGATGCAATTGGCAAACTCATATAACATAAAAAAGTCAATATTCATTCCTTTTCATAAGAATTAATCATTTTAAATGAAACGCCTAAAAGTATGCTTTATATATCATTCATTTGTGCAGTTATGAAACAATGGATTGTGGTTGGCAATACTCTACTGAATACTTCTTTATTTTGAGCTTGCTAAATTAATGCATTTTATTGTAATTATTTCTGCACTGCCATAGATAGGTGATTCCCTAACGTAAAACATATTATTTTTATATATTTATACCTAAAAATTTAAATAAAATCTTTAAAATGTGTCTGTGTTAACCCTTTGCCACCTATTGTGCGTTTGGCAACACTTGCTTTCGTGATCGATACCACAAAATATCGCCATGCTCTGTTATCGATTACTTTGTTTATTTGTTTAAGAGAACATAAATGTGTGTGTGTGTACGTGAGAGACAGAGAGAATCCGATTGTGAGAGTTGTTTGTGCATCAAGTATTTTCTTTTTGTTTGGTTTTCGCTTCACTTTTCACAAAATTTCTTTACAAGAAAAACTAATTTACTGAGTTAATTTATTAAATGTAAATAAATTATAGTATATTTTATCGTATTTTCAATTAAAGGTAAGTGAAAAAGTGCAAAACACGTGGATATATTTGATATTAATATGATTGGCCTCATTTTCGTAGAACTTCATGCGAGCAGAGGGCGAAGCCGATGTGAAATTCTCGGCGGCGGCGGCTAAGCATAAAAAAGTCGGCGGCGGCTAAAAGTCGACTGCAGCCGAAAGAAAATCGGCGGCGGCGGCTAAAGCAATATACGGCCGGCGGCGGCTAAAAGTCGGCTACAGCCGACGACTTTAACGTGAACAAATAATTTCGGTTGTTTTAACAACTGTCAATTCATTTAATTTAAAATAAAAATGAAAATATAAATTTATATGCACATTTGTTGCTTATAGCACATTAAAAATTATAATAAAAATACTTTAATTTGATAAAAATGGTTCGACGACCGCCTTGTTATCGTGAACAAACAATTGTTTCTTTACTGTTGCCGGATGCAGGTTGCTTCTCTTAGCATTTACACAATTCCCGGCATATGAAAATGCTTGCTCTGAAGATGCTGATGTGGCTGGAATTCCAAAGCACATATTTGCTACAGTAGCAACATTTGGAAAGATCTATAAAAAGTAAATGGTCAAAACGTAACCTGCTTAAAACAAGTTTAAGATGTGAATCTTTAACGTACTTGTTTGTTCTGTCGCCACCAATCTAGAGGCTCGACCGCCTCGACTTTCATTTCCAAATATTTTCTTATTTCTAACTCTACGTTATTTTGTACATTAGAAGGCGATGGTCCCATAAATTCCAACATTCTTTGACGACTAGCTGATATTTTCTGCAAGTAAAATATACGTCAGTTAAGTTTACCTTTACATTTATTAAAACATAATACCTGTTTTTTTGCATTTGGTTCAGTGCTCGTTGATGGCTCATTTAATAATGTGTCATCGATTTCCTTTAATTTTTCAATTTCTTCCATAATCAAGTTCTCCTTGGAAATTGGAGACAGAACATCATGCACAAGTTCCAAGGAGTTTGGCGATTGTTTGGGTATCTGTAGTATATATTTATCTAAAACAGGCCAGTTTTTTTGGCATGGGTCCATAAGCGCAGCTACAACATACATTCTATATACTTTGAATCGCTTCGTGAAGTTTTGCACAGCGAAATTGCATAAATTGATTGTTAGTTCAAAAGACGCTTTTTCTTCTTCATTCTTCATTGAGGACATAATGGATTCCTGAAAATAAATACACGAAGATATCGTCGGATAATCTTGGCCTTGAAGGTGTTTTGTGGCGTCCTCAAAAATTTTTAAAAACGTGCCAAATTCCGTTATAATTTGCTTTTCCATTGTCCCAATCACTAACAGTTCCTTTTTAGCTTTAACTAATGCTACATTTATAGTGGATATATTATTCGTATAGCTTTGAATCATTGCAAGCAGAGAGTTCCAACGTGTTGCAACGGAATTTTTCAAAGAGGTGTGGTGCTTGACGTTTAAAGTTGCTTCATATTGTTCAGTAAAATAGTCATCTCCATGTGGAAATTGTTCGCAACTATCCAAACTCTCCAAAATTATTTCAACCTCTGTAAATATTTTTTCTAAATCGTTTTGTTCCTCCATATTTGAATATTTGATATTTCTTCATAGCTATACATTAAGCTGCTATAAATTTTTTTTAATTTTGATATTATGTTATTAATATTTTCAAATGACTTGTTGTTTAGTATATCTTCCATCAAAAATCTGTGTAAAACATGAGCCATACAACCATATCTTGGTATATTTTTAATTTTTAAAGCTGAAACGATGTTGCTTCCACCATCAGTAACAGCACATATGTTTTTTTCCAACAGATTAAATTCACATAAAGCTTCTTCAATTTTTTCTACAACTGCTAGTCCAGTGTGAGGTCGTGGAAAGATCTCTGTCTTGAGCGTTACAATTTGCATTTGAAAATTTTTGGCAGAAATGAACTTTTATGTTTATGTAAGACAAGTGCTTATGTTTATCTGACCACATATCCAATACAAGTGTAACATTTTTGGGCGACTCTTTAAGGCTTGTTTTTACGTGGTCCAAATATATGTTATAAACATCGTTTAAAGCCGTCGTAGCTATTGTCCTATCTGTGGGGAATATAGCCTTTGGGTTTAAGAAAGATACCAATTTCTTAAATCCTGGCCTTTCAACAATTTTAAACGGTTGCAAATCCCAACAGCACATTTCGGCGACCCGGCGAGCATTTTGTTGTTTGTTGTTACAACTTGTTGAGGATTTCAATGCATTTTGTGTCATTGTTGAACTTTTCAGGTTATTTAAAGATTTCACGTCCAAGTTATGTACAGCTCGTAGATGGTTCATATAATTTGTGGTTGATGTTGATTTTCCAAAACTAAAATCATAAACATTTACACACATGCGAATGGAAAAAATTAGAAATTCTTACCTTTTTAAATTGGTCTTTTCATCCAAACACAATTTGCAAAATTTATATTTTTGAAGTATATGCCTCTTTTTAAAATAGAGATCACCAAAATATTTCCAACACATTGATATACCACCTTCATTTACAACAACCTTTGCCAAATTTTTAAATTCATTTTTCTTTTTAAAAAGATCTTCATATTGAGATACATCTGCATATGGAGAAATATTGATTTCAGTATCAACAGATTCGTCAGAATCGGATTCTGATTTAGTCAAAACTGTTTGACCCTTTCGGTTAGCGGAAAAATAATTTTTAATATTCCTTTGGCACATTTTGCATTCTTTTCTTTGAACAAGCAAAAACACAACGAATCTTTGGCAAACAATATGGTTGCCACTCCATCAAAATTCGTAAGTTACAAAAGGTTGCCAAAGGTTTTGTGATAAAAAAACAAATCTACAAAGTCATAATACCCTTACCACTATGTGGTGTAGGGTATAATTAATATAAATAGCCTACACGTTTTTGCCTCTCGAAGACGAGTGCACAATGTAAATTATCGTCCAATAATGAGCATTATAATATGTTAATTTATCGATAAGATTAAAAGACATATTTATACAAATTTGCTGTATAAATTTATATTTTTCAACGGCTTAGCCGACTCAGTCGGCTAAAAATTTGAGCCGATGAGAGCCGCATACATCAGCGGCGGCTCAGATCACTTAAAAAAAGTCGGCGGCGGCTGCACGCCGACTGCGAGCCGATCGGCTTCGTGCTCTGCATGCGAGTTCGTGTATGTGTCACACCTGACCAGAATCATTAAACAACATTATTTTACAACATAAGTACATGTAAGCCAACGCCAGGTGTAGAAGAATTTGTTTTATGGGAAATTAGTTAAATCAAATGTGGATATATATGTTTTATAAAGGCTGTTGAGGAATTTTCCATGACATCCAAACAAAATCGATTGTGTTATATTTACGTCTATTCTCAAGGCTATGTGTTCGTTCCATATGCCAACAAGGATGATGTACAGTAAAATGTCAATATCATCATTCTGAAATAATATACATTTAATTCCGACTTCTTTTAGTTTTCTGTCTTCAAATATTGGCCAAGAAATCATATTAATTTTAAAATTCCCTTGACTTTTCCACCTTTTTTGCTTTCTTCGCCGAATCAAAAAACTGCTTGCAGGTAAAAAATCTATAAAATACTTTCATGTACATTATGACATTTATAATTCTGTTCAATAGACACAGGTGAATGTAAGCACATGATTAGCCTCATTATACATTTGGTTACCTGTTTTCTCCACACACAAACCCACCATTATCAGTAAGAAGTTTAAATGAAGAATTAGTTGTTTTGAAATTAGGAATGGATTATGAACGTATACTTTTATGCATTTCCTTGTCTTCCAAGACATTTTGGTATACAACATTTGTAAGTAAGATGAATTTCGAGTAATTTTGTTATACATTTTATTTTCTCTAGATAGATATTTTTAATGACAAGATCTATCCACTCATTTTAGTATATTTATGCTGGTGCTTCTCATAACGCTTTCACATCCACCACCACTCGATTGGTTCTTTAACAATATAAAAACATAAAAACCACCCTTGTACATTTTCTGTCAATTAAAGCGCTATTAAACGGGTGACGTCACTGTTTTGGTTAGTCCTTTTCGAGTTAAGGCAATAATGTATGCGGGTTCTAGTTTATTTCCAGCATGTGTATACCATGAGCGGACTACACATCTATATCAATGGTGCCCACAATATATGTCTTAGAGAATATGATCCTTCGGAAAGAATCCACGTAGGTGTTTATAACCAAACTTACATTTTATATAGATTTCGAATCGCATTGGCACTCAGTAAAATGTTATGATGTCGATAAATTACTTCACTTATGAGTTCAAGCCTGGAGTCGAATATTAGCCTTTTTGGTCAAATAAGTCATCATTTGACAATGGCGCGGTACGTGTGGGAAGCAAAATATATAACATATGCAAGCTTTTTAAGCTTCCTTTAGAGTTTCTCCTTTTAAACAAAACTTGCACATTAAATGTCAGTCTGATTTAGGTGATTTCGACATATCCGTCATAAAAAACGCAAAAGTATTTAATTCATTGCCCAATTAAGGCTCTTTATTTATATGAGCATGACTCACCTATCGATCACATTATTCCAAACACATTTTTAAAAATCTGATTTTAAATTTTTTTATTTTGCAGAAATTAAATTCATTACTCCAACCAGGACGCACTGCCCACATTGATGCCATCAAAAATGTCGCACCTGAACTGGTGCCGTTTATGTATAAATAGCTGTACAGACTTTATAGAGATATACGATGAAAATGAACAAATTAAAATGGATGTCTATGACGTCACTATACAGTATTTTCATGCAATGGTAAGTTGAATTAAATTCTATACAAATACCCAAGACTTATCTCAAAATGTTTATTTCGATTTTTAGTTCTTGCAACCCATAAACGAAAGTCCCCTTAAAGTTATGTGCGCGGATTGTTGGCGACACATTACCGAATTTGATAGTTTTCAAAAATCCATACTATTGGCTCAATCTACTCTACTGAAGCCCAATGCGGAAAAGGAAACAGAAGATGATGATGAGCAGGAGGAGGATGAGCCATTACAAGCCAAAGCAGAATTAGAAATTATTGCACAACCCGTAAAAAATGAAGCTTCAGAAGTGGAGACACTTCACAGTGACAAAGAGAACAACGATGAAAACATTGAAGACAGTGATGGTGGCGGTGGCGGTGTTGCCAACAATCAAATCAATGAAAACACATTTAAGCTTTACGTTAAATCCATTGTCGATATGATCAAGGCACAGAATGGCGATTTTAATATGGGAGTGCAAAAACCTTTCACAAATGATACATCTCTCGATGAAAGTGTTCCAAAAATAGCCAATGTAAGCGGCGGTGCTCCCATTGATTTGACTGAGGATGAAATTAATCAGGATGAGTATGAAGGAGAAATGGACTATACAGGTGATGAAGAGCTAAAGTTCAATGCTGCCGATTTGTTATCGGTACAATTGAGTACAGATGGTGATAACTTTTTGGGTGAAAACTCCATGTTGGAACATATGCATAGTTTTTTCAGCCGGCAAAAGCAACCTGAGAGTTTTAGAAATCGTACCCCAAGCGAAATTTTAGATCAATATATAACCCAATGGCGAGCAACATTAAATTGTCCCCTCTGTAATGCTGTTTGTGCAAATGTGGCCCATTTGAGGGAACATTTCAAAGAACATCATCCACAGCACAAAACTTACATAGAATGTTGTCAACGTAAGCTATTCACACGTTCATCAATAGCGGAACATGCACGTGTCCATTTGGATCCCAACACTTTTAAATGTGAAATATGTGGACGAGTTTGTAATTCATCCAAAGCCTTGTTGAAACACAAGCTTTCCAAACACTCAGAAGCAAATGATAGCTACGCTGATGATGCTGTTGGCGCTCATGGTGAGAGTGGCAACACAGAACCAGCCGCAAATAAATCAAAAATATCCAAAAAATCTGCCAAAGAATTAGATGACATTATTGCCCGCTGGAAACCAAATTTGGAGTGTGTGGTGTGTTGCAGCCAATTTCCCAGCTATACGATGTTACAGCAACATTTTCACTTTGAACATCCGCAGGCTCCATTCTACATTGAGTGCTGTCAACTGAAGTTGGAACAACGTTGGCATGCTGCCGATCACATGCAACTGCACTTGGATCCCAACGCCTTCAAATGTCAGCTATGCAATCGAGCCTACAGCTCCAGTCGCCATTTATATCGCCACATGTACTATACACATTCCATGCGAGCCGGTGGCAATAATGTCAAATCGCCCACTTGCCACAAATGCCCGATATGTGAAAAGTCCTTCAAGGCTCGCCGTTGTATGCAGGAACACATGGCCACACACACCGGCCAGGAATTGTATCGTTGTTTGTATTGTAGCGAAACATTTCGCTATTGCTCATCGTTGTATGCCCATTTAAAGAGTATCCATCCGCTTGAATGGAACGATCGCAAAGATACTCGTATGCTGTATAAACAAATGACAATTGGAGATTCATAAAAAAGAGCTATTTGAATTCGAATGGAAATGGGCAGAAGACATTCCTCTTGTTCTATTGTATGAGTATTATGAATAGTTTTAAGTTAGTTTTTATATATCTATAGATATCTATCTACGTTGACGAGATTTTCATTTTTCTTTTCATCAACAATGTAGAGATTTGTTGGATTTATATAAATATACATAGCTAAATCCCTCCATTAGAATTATCATTTTTTTCTTTTAATATTTGTATTTTATTTTCATATACTTTTAATTTGTATTAATCTCGAATTTAGCACAAATTTTTGTAATAAATTAAGTAAACTTTTTTTAAATTTTAAAATTGAGTACTTAACCGTTTTAAAAAGCATTTTTAGACAATATTTATTGAAGATTCTGAATAATATTGTAAGATGTATTGAAAAGACTTCTTAAATGTCATCTTTAGAACAGCTATTGAAACTCTTTATGTGTAGTACAGTGCGAGATGAAAAAACTGCAACCAATTTCAGACTGCTGTCATTTCTAAGCCACTCGTCCGACAGCTGTTAAAATTGTTCCAGTGACAGCTCATTATATTGTTTACAAGTGTACAAAAGCATTTTGGTGAGAATTTTCCAAAAAAAAAAAGTTATTTTTGATGGAATTCAAGCGTGATAGTGTGATTTCTTTATATTTGGCTAGAAAACCACAAGTGGCTATCTTTGGAGCCCTCCAGCATTTAAATGTGAATTTAAGCGTGATAGTGTGATTTCTTTATATTTGGCTGGAAAACCACAAGTGGCTATCGTTAGAGCACTCCAATATTTAAATGTGAATAAATCTTTTGTGTATCGTACCATCCCTCGTTACCGTGATACTGGTAGCGTAGCCCGACGTCAGGGAAGTGGACGGAAGAAAACAGCAACATCAGCAGAAATGGTTCGAAAAGTAAAGAAGCTTCTTGATCGAAACGCACGTCGTGGTCGAAAAATGGCACTTGAGCTGAACATACCGCAATATTCCATTCGGCAAGTATTGAAAAATGAGTTCGGGGTAAAGCCATTGAAATTCCAAAAAGTGCAAGAACTTACACCGCAACAGAAAGAAAATAGTCTCAAAAGAGCTAAAGAGTTGCTTCGCTTGGCCGAAAGTAGTAAACTGCGGAATTTGGTCTTCTCCGATGAGAAAACATTCGTTGCCCAGCAGTATGTACTTGCCAAAGAGGTCAGCTGAAAATGTGCACCACCAGAACTCAAGCGCCGGCCATGGTGATGGTGTGGGCCGCCATAACAGCCGATGGTCGCTCTCCGCTCGTATTAATCGACCGTGGCATCAGAATAAATACCCGTGTGTTAAAGCCTTGGGCACGCGTGTTAAAGCCTTGGACACGCAAACATTTAGGCCGCAGACCTTGGACACTCCAACAGGACTCAACACCATCGCACTCAGCATGCGCCCCACACGAATGGTCACAAAAATGAGGTTCTTCGCTTAATTTCCAGCGCACAATGGCCACCAAAATCTCCGGATACCAATCCGTTGGCCTATTGTGTCTGGAGTATTTTGGAAAGCAAGATTGGCACTAAAAAATACCACAATTGTCGATCACCTCAAGCAAGCGCTTTGCCGGGAATGGGCTAAAATACCGCAGAGCAACATTCGGGCACTGTTTGACGGTTTCATTGGTCGTTTGAAGGCCATAATTCGGGCCAAACATGACCAATTCGAAGAAATCAAAACTTATTCTAAAATTTGATGTTATTTACGACATTTTTTGCCTTGGGCACGCAAACATTTTGGTCGTAGACCTTCGACATTCCAACAGGACTCAGCACGCGCCACCTAAAAATGGTTAAACAATGAGGTTCGTCGCTATATTTCCAGCGCACTATGGCCACCAAAAACTCTCCGTATACCAATTCGTTGGCCTGTTGTGTCTGTAGTATTTTGGAAAGCAAGGTTGGCACTAAAAAATTCCAAAGTGTCGATCACCTCAAGCAAGCGCTTCGACGGGAATGCTTCCATTTAGAGATTACCTACTAAATTTTTCCAGTTTAAGGTATTATATAGAATATGCTCTGTTCCAGAACCTGCTAGAGTCTACTAGTTTTGCTTTTTTTTTTTTTTTTTTTATATCATAAGGGGAAGAACGGTTGTCGTAGTAAAAACATTGACATCCTTGCAGTTCTGGAACACATCAATTGTTGAGGCTCTAAAAAGTATTCAAGTGGGGCGTTGAAAAGATTTATTTTATCCTGTCCCACTATTTTTCTTTTGAACTCTCTCGCTTTAAATTTCAATCCGTTATTGGTGGTTTTAATTGCTACATATCAACCAATTTAAATAGCTCGCCATAAGAGGTCCACATGGAAAGCTTCCACACAAAGTTAATGTTGATAAGAGAAATAGACTGGAATAACATCCGGAGAAAAGAGGAGAAGAAAAAAATTAATGAAAAATAATTTTAAACTGATTTAACTTCCGGCATCAGGCGGAAAGAACATTGCTGCCAAATTAGCCGTAATATAAAGCTCATTTCGTATCTCTCCTGAAGCCAAAAGAATGGAGAACTACAAACCAAACGAATAAAATTGCTAAGGCAATACGGACACAGACACTGGTTGGCAGGCAGCAGGCAGGCAATGCAGACAAATGCATTCAGCCTCCGGTGTGGGAAGAAGGACTAAATGATGCGTCAAGAAAACTATGGTATTTGAAAGGGGTGGTGGTGGAGGTGAAACCACACGCACACACACACATACATATGGGAATACAACAGTAGTAAAAGTCGTATTCTACAATTGTAATGCATTGTCAAAACTTTTGCAATGCAAGTCGTTATTGTGTGAGAGAGGGCGATGAGGAGGAGGAGGCGCGAACTCTAAGAAAGAAACAAGGAAAAGCTTTTAAAATGCTGCCAACAGACACACACACGCAGACAATAGAAGAAGAAGAAAGAACATACAATGGACACAAAGAAAACACATAAAAATGAAAAATTGCTTAAAGTTAAGAAACATTTGAATTCGACGCAGTAAAATGAGAAAAAAAACCTCCGAACCGATGCATCCATGCAACAAAGAAGACTATGAAGAAGAAGAACCAACAAACAATTGCAGTCAGTCATTAAGTTTTTTTTTCTGTTTTTTTTTTTCAAAATTGTGTTCTTCGTAAATAGTTTGAGCCAAGCTCGCAAGCATAGTATTGACTATAACACATCTTCTAGTCTATTGCACTTTGGCGGAAAAAGTGACTAATGTAAACATGTTACTAATATTGAGGTCGATTTAAATAAGAACCATTTTTATACCCTACAACACTATGTGTTTGGGGTATTATAAGTTTGATTGGGCCAAAAATTATGTAACACCTCGAAATATTGATTTCCCACATAGGAAAGTATATATGGATCTTCCTATCTCGCCGAGTTGAGTCGATCTAGCTATGTATGTCCGTCCGTCGGTCTGTCCGTCTGTCCATGTTAATTTGTAATCACTCTACAGGTCGCAATTATGGCCCGATCTTCACGAAATTTAGAATGGAGGTGGGGCTAGGGTCAATAGAACCCTATTTCTTTTGGAGATGAGCCAAAACTGAAAAAATGTCGGATTTTGCAGAAGCTATACAGGTCGCAATAATAGACGGGGAAGAAGCCTACCAATTTGGGTGGTCATCGGATAATATTTAGCGGGTAAAATAGACCATATCTTTTGTGTTGAAAAAATTCAAAATTTTTCATTAAACCGCGAATATTTTTAATCCCGGCAAAATCACAAATCCATGACAAGGTTACTTCTGATCTTTACATTGATGTTAACATCCAACAAAACGGATATATAGCAAAATATGTGCGATAAATATGTCTATCAAAGAAGATATGCTTGAAAGATCTCTTATATATCGAGAACGGCTGAACTGATTTCGACAGTTCTCATTAATTCAGAATGGCCTCTTGGCAGGAAAGAAACAACGTCTAAAAAATCGCTTAAAAATATCTCTCTAAAGATGAAAATATTGATTTTGTAAAATTTTCTCATATTTTTTTAATTTTGTCAAATTTTTGGCATATTTTCATTTTGAATTAAACATTTGTAATAGTTTTACAGATAACAAAACTAAGTAGTTAGGATATCAGGATATCATATACAGATCGCATTTATGGCCCGATCCTAACGAAATTTTGCATGGGGATCAGATGAGGGTTAGAATAGAAGACTACTCTTATTGGAGATGATCGCCATATATTTAGGGGTTGAAATGGACAAAAAAAGTGCAAAATTGTCAGCAGGTCGTAATTATTGCCCGATCTTCACCCATATTTGAATGGGGGTTACGGGCATTGCAAAAGCCAAGCAGTTTTGGATGGCCATCCAAAAATATTCAATGTGCGAAATAGTTTGCCAACTTTTGTAGACAAAATACGAATATGTCAATTCCAGTGACTTTTTGGAGAATTCACAAATGCAGGAAAGACGCACTTCTGACTATTTCGTTAACGCTGATTTCGTTTAAGGAATATAGTCAAATGTCTGTATCTCATACAGATGCGTTTCAGTCAAAACCAATAATAAATGTTAATCTTTTGCCACTTCTGATAGATTATAGGTCTTTGGGAAATATTGGTTCCAGATCTAGGAAGACCATTTAAGTACAACATCTACCAATAAATTGGAAATAAGCAAATTAGTTAAAGTTGCTATTATTCGAAAATTAGAGAACGGAAACTGATGGTTTTCTTTTATTATTTGTCACAATATCTTGTGGAATTCTTTCGAGTATCTCGCCTATATAAACTGTATCGTTTATTATAGTGTTGTAGGGTATTCAACGGTCGGCCCCGCTCGACTGTAGCCTTTGCTTACTTGTTTATTTTTATTTTTAATATTTTGCAATTCCGAACACTTGATGTCAATCGAAAAGACAAATATGAGACCAAAGCAAACAAAATTGTAAAAAATTGACTTCGAATTTCTAATGGAACAATTCGAATTGACTTCGAAAAATTAAAATCGAATTAAAAATAAAAAAAATGGAATTATAAATGAGCTAATTCGAATTACAAGTTTTAAAATTTTCTTTTTGTGAAAACCATGGTGAAAACTGTCCGCTAGAAATTGCTTTCTTTTGGTAAAATGGAATGTAATGCGAATTTGGGATACATCTCGAACAAAGTTCTTAAGGTAACAATGTATTTTTTTACGGAATCTGTGATATTTATAATATTAATCTCATATCAGACTGTACTCAGCATAAAACTGCAGGCATTCATCCGATCGTCATAAAGTTGATGAACGAAGTGTCAAATTATATGAGGGAGATGTATGAGTTCAATATGAGGAATAGAAAGTGAACAAGCGCCAAGGCAACGGGGGAGAAGCCGAAAACAGA